AGATAGCATTTTAGACACTGAGAAAAGCCTTGGTACAACCACCAATTCTCGCATATCCAGATTTTTCAGATAATGATGAATTTATTCTAAGAACTGATGCTTCGAATTATGCGATCGGTGATATTTTATCAAATTCAGATGACAAACCTGTTTCGCTAGCAGGTCACTGAATAGAGCTGAAACCAATTATTGTGTTATAGAAAATGGACTACTTGCTATATGTTGGAGTGTGAAAAAGTTTCGTCCATATTTATACGATGAAAGGTTCACTATTCTCACGGAACACAAACCATTATTGTATCTTTTCGGCATGACCAACCCTTCAAGCAGACTCATTGAACTTAGGTTAACACTCGAAGAATATGATTTTACTATGAATTATGTCAAAGAAAAAAATAATGTTACTGCCGACGTACTGAGTCGTATGAAAATTGATTACGATAACTCGAAAGAAATGTCGAAGAATTCGTGTCATATGGTGAATGTTATGACAAGAGCACAAAAATCAAAAAATGAACAATAATTCAGAGGGAATTTCTAATGCTCATACTGATAACAAGCTTGATCACCCTGGTATAGTAAAACTTTTGAAACCACCTAAAGAATTTGTTCAATTGTATCCTTCATCAAGAGTCGGATTCGAAAGAAGAAAGGTTGCTGTGTATCGAAATAGGGAATATTCTTTATGATAAAAAGGCAAATATAATTCATCTGAATCAGGATAAAACTCGATCAACGACTGAATTTCGTGCATCGTTGAGAGACCTGAAGAAAATTTGCGAAATATATGGAATTCCAGAATTGGTAATAATTGAAAATGATAGATGCGCATCGTTTTTAATTAATATTTTGAAAGTTCCCAATGAAATAGAAAATACCGGTATGAAAATAAATGTAATTAAAGCTAAGCAACACATTATTTAAAAAGGAATTCAACAACTGATTATGAACGATTACCACATGTAACCAACAGGAGGTCATGCTGGTATTAATCGGGTGTATAATAATATAAGGAAACTTTATTTTTGGTCTGAACTTCGAAAAGCTATCGAAAACTTCGTCGGTGATGGACTGTCAGAGACGAAAGTACTCAAGGCCGCATCAAGAACCAATGAAAATTACCACAACTGCAAATTCAGCGTTTCAGAAAGTTTTTCTTGACTTGGTGGGCCCCTTAGAACAAGGCAAGAAAAATAATCGATACATTTTGACAGTGCAATGCCAGTTAACAGAATTTGTCGAAAAATATCCATTAGAGAATAAAGAGTCAATAACTGTTGCTAAGTCTTTCGTGGAAAATTCTATTTTGCGATATGGAATTCCAGAATAAGTTACGACAAATGATAGTATCGAATTTCTAGCGTTCACATTCAAAGAGTCATGCAAACTGTTGAACATTGAACAGCCAAATTCAACCGCATATCATCATGAAACCATGAGAGCTTCAGAAAACACGCATAAACATCTAGGTGCTTATTTGCGTATACATGCAGCAAAGCATCCAGATACCTGGAGCTCGTGGATTTAATATTGGTGCTTTGCCTATAATAATTCAGTTCACACTGAGACTCGTTATACTCCATACGAGTTTGAAAACAGCTTGAGATGACGCTAGAACTAATTTAATGGTATCAAAAACGAAAGGAAAAACAAAATTAAATACAAAAATGGATACTGATAATGTCAAACTAGGTAATGAGGTTTTATTTAGGAACACGTCTACTCATGAAATATATGATCCTATATTCAAAGGTCCATTAGTTGTGGTAAAAGATGAAGAACCAAATGTTGTAGCTAGGATAGATAATAGGTTAGTTGAAATTCATAAAAATAGGATTGAATTGTTTATTGAGTAACAAATAAAAATGTACATTGTTTTTCGTCATCGGGGGATGTGTACTGGTACAGCTCTCCTCGATGCATATAATGTTTTGATATTAGTAATTTGGTAAGTTGTTTATGAACAGATAATTAAACATTGTATTCAGATTTGGGACACAATGTGAATGAATTAGATTCTTGACTTCGATCTTGTTAACATCTAACTGGAACGAATAGACGAAATCAATCGAACTCGAGATGTTCAAATTCTTATCTTTCTGACTTATGATGGAATAACCTGAGAGGAGAACTGAGCTTATCACAGAATAATGAGTTTTTTTCTCGAAGAATATTTTACTGTCGAACTGTTTTTTTTGCTCTTTTATTCTGCTCATTGATCAAAGAATTATCAATCGTTTTCCTCATCCAATTCAACTATTTGAGGTTACGGAGTTCTTTGTGAAGTTCCCTGGAAAGAGGTATCTTACCATTTCCAATCGCATTTCGATACCCTATTTCTGACAGGCTCTATCCCACAAAACCTCAATTTCACAGGCGGCACTTAAAACTGTTTATTACATCAACACGAATGGCTAATAGAATGTTCTATCTGAATATACTGCTCACTCACCACTTTGGATGCATAATGAGTTAAATGAACGAATTTTTCGTGAAAAGGAGAATATCATGTTGCTTAAGTTTTATTCATTCCTCAATGAGATGTTGGATATGACAAATTATCATAATGTTGCATTATACGACATATTCGTTTGATCTCTCTTCTGGTAGGATAAGACAAATAATAATCTTGAGAGATGCATAATATGTTATAATGATAAGGCATTGGTAATAATTATTATGGTTTTATTAGATAAGAGGAAAATAAAAATAATTCCAAAAATGAGAATTATCAAGACCGAAATAAAAATACGAAATTAAAATAGTAATAGTTGAATGAATCAATACAGTTGATTCTGTTTCTATAATGACATAATGTTACAAGCTTGCATGCTTCATTCATCAATCTTCGCTTTTGTGTTTCTCGTTGGTCGTGATTGGATTTTCAGATTTTCATTTCTGATTCTTTAGTCATTGCTCCAGTTCTCTTCTTATTCTTTCTTCTGCTTCTTTTCATTCCATTTTCGTTTTTATTCCTGTTTCCATAGTGTTCGCTTATCATCAATTTTGCCTCAGTTTTACCTCTTATATTTCTTGATATCCCTTGCTCTGATTTTTGTTCTTCATAGGTTCCTTTCCTGTGATTATTTTTTCCGAGTGCAGATTGGTCATTTCCTGCATCTCTTCTGCTTGTCTTTTCATTAGGTATGGTTTCTCTTGATTTGTTCCGACTGTCCGCCTTATCGAATTCTTCGTCAATGTTGGGTGATTTTTCTCTGCATTCTCATAATAAGGAATGGTGTCGTAAAAAAAGTGGGTATCTGATGGTAATACTTTCTTGAGTTCTTGTAGATGCATCCACTTCTTTTTCTTGATCTTGAGTCTCTCAGGATAAAATAGCTGCAAGGAATAATTTGCGTCAACGATTTTTTGTCTCTGCGGTAGTTCAGTATATTGATCAGTGTATCTTATCTTGTACATGATTTTTTCACGAGGAAGATATTTCAGACATTTAAGGTCTGTCACCTTCGAATCATCCTTGCATCTCCCTGGGCGAATTGAGGTATATCTCATACAATGAGGATCATCGAAGTTGAGAAAAAACGTATGATTGAGATGGTTCACATATCTAATGATTTAGGAGTTTTCCTGGCATTCCTTATGACGCCAATTTAATCTGTTGGAAGGAAAATATCTCTCCCTTTCAGTCTTCTCTCAATGAGGCTATGGGTGGAGTCACACTCCATTCGAGTATGCCCCTTTTCGAGATATTCTTGTTCGATCTCAATATCATATTTGGTAGCAAGAAGGGACAATGCATTGGATAAGTAAACATTCTTATTCTGGTAGCCACAACTGTCTGAAAAAATGATGATCGGTTTTATTTCACCAAGTGACATTATACTCTCCAAATGTTTCACTATGCATGTAGTGAACACAGATGCACTCAGTTCCCCTTTTAATTCATTCCAAACAAAATTATGACTGTCATGCGTTGCAAAATTATATATTGTGAAATTGTGTACCTGTAATTTGGTTTTGTAATGGAGAGCACTCGCCTGTAGCTTTGGACATAATTTGACAGCCTGAACGTCCATAGTGAAACAATGAATCAAACTTTCCTCAGCTTTCTTCTTGTCTGATTTCTTTTCTTCTCGTGCTTGATCTTAAGCGGACATGTGTTTCTGATATTCATCCTCAGCTATCTGTTCCACTTTATATCCAGAGCAAACGTCACATTGATCCTTCCGAGGTTTGAATAGAGCAAGATTCATTTCATCAAATTCTGTCACAAAGGGTAACAATGATAGAGGTTTCATGTTATTTTCCAAACATTTCGCTTTATAGACATGGAAAACCTGAGACTTGGATTTGAAATCCTCTTCCAAATATAATTTGTCTGTAGTGCTCCTGCAGTAATGGCTCTCCATCTTTGGCAATTCTTTCAAAAACATCTGTAGATAGTCTCTCCTCTTTTTCATTTCAACATACAATGTTGAATCTCGCTTCTTCTCGAATCTCTTTCTATTTTTGTCTTCAGACTAAGCAGGTAGTCCATATCTTCCCCCCTCATTAATCCAATATGATACCATTTTTTCCTTGATAACCAAAGTCCCCAAGAAAAGTTTTTTACAAACTTGATATTTAATGGAATCCATTATCAAATGATATTTGAATGAACCACTTCTTCTGGAGGGATTGTTCGTGTAGCTCCTCTTCTTTTCTTGGTAGCTGGTCATATGTGAGACGAAAATTCTCTTATGTTCCCATGTCATGTTCCAAAATTTCTCGAAAATTGTCTGTCGAATGCTATCATTGAACAACTGACAAAATCTATTTGATGCTTTCTTGCAGAAATCAGAATCACAATTTGGTCCCATTGTTCTTTTGTCTCTCTTAATTTCATGCTTTATTATGCCACTTTGAGATCTCGTGTATCCTTTGTACTCTTCTCCTAACATTCTTTTTCTCTTATTCACATTCTTTCTCTAAGATTCTGGGACTGCATGATGTCTTCTCTTCTTCTTGGAATTGTTTTCAATTTCAGGTGATTCATTAACCGTTTTGGTTGATAGTCTGGTATCCACAATGATATCATCTTGGCTTTGGTCATCAGAAGGCAGATAGTCAGGGTCATCCACATTATCATCTCCTGAATGAACTCCACCCTGATCTTCTAAATCTTCGTGTTCTCCAGAATTACAAGTGTTGTTTTCCAATTCTTGATTCACAATATCTGAACCATTCTGGAGCAATGCCTGATCATCAGCAGCAAAATTTTCATGAACCCCGATGCCCTTACAGGTTAAATTTCAGAGGAGAGTTTGGTCCATTGCTGAGCCAACTCCAGCTGTTTTTAGTGGTTCTAACCTAACCCTTCTATCTCACCCAACGAAGTCTAGCAGCAGCTCGTTTCCTGCCTCTTTGCAGAATGTTCCTCAGAAGCCAATTTCCATGGGGGCCGAAGCAGGGCGTCGGTTCTGGTGGGTGAAGGATGGACAGGTGTTTCGAAGAAGTTGAGTGCATTATCTTCATCGATTAATTATTGTACCAGCTATATATATATTTGTATTTATCCACTGAATATTCACTATACAGAGTTCCGAAAGAAGTTGAGTACATTATCTTCATCAATTGATTACTGTACCAGCTATATACATTTTGCATTCATTTACTAAATATTTACTATATAGGGTTTCGAAAGAAGTTGAGAGCATTATCTTCATTGTATGGGCTAGGTATCTTCGCAATTTTGATTTACTCGTTGAAGTATTGTGAGTAAATGACTATTGAATCCACCTTTACTTACACAGGTACCTGGCTAACTCCATGTAACAGGACTTTTACTGCGGGTAATCATAATAAGTGCGAGTGTGTGTATTTTGTGGTATTATTACCACCTCTCCAGGGCAAAATTCTTATAAAACCTAGGGTCCATTGATTGCGACCATTTAGGTCGCAACATACTCCATGTTTGCATTTGGCGTTTTTCTTGCTTAAGACAAGCAGGATGGACACCACACCTCACACATTGTACTTTATTTCACAATTTTTTTCTGATAATGTTTGCAGCAGTAATTCCGATTTTCTTCGGGAGCAAGTGACATAAAACCTGTGCTACTCGCCATCTTGTTGATAGGATACCTGATAGCTCTTTCACGAACCCTGATGAACAAACGTTAGCAATTATTCTCCTTCAAACTTATTGTGACCTCTGGCAACCAAACCTGGAGGAAGAGGTTGGCATGGAATTGTTATAATAATAATAATTATTAATCGTCTTTATCACTTCTATGAAGATAAAATAACCTAAAAAATGATTTTTCCGAAGCAAAGGGCAGAGTTTATTTTCTGTTTCAAGTAGCAGCCATAACAAAGAATATTCTCCCACTTCACCCACGATATGATCAGCTGGTCAACAACGGGGGTAGAGTTTATACATGGTCATCCAGTCGAAGTGTCCACCATTGGTAACATTGTGATATCTTTCCCACTTTACCCACGATATGATCAGCTGGTCAAGAACGGGGGTTGAGTTTATACATGGTCATCCAGTTGAAGTGTCCACTATTGTTAATATTGTGATATCAGCAAACTAGCAGTATTTATAATGATTTCTGAATTGGAGAAAACATAAAAATTCATTGAGCATCGAGATTCCGGATTTGTAATGAATATAAATTCTGCAAATGACACCTACCCATAGCTCTTGGTGAACAGTTCCACATGAGATTTTGTATTCTCATAAAGAACTGATATCGTCGAAGATGAGACACTAGTTACCAATGACTGCAGACACTCAATTTGGATATTCCAGAATAAAGACGGTGAATAGTTTTCTACCCGAATATCTTCAACCGGTAAGCCCTACCTCGCTTCTGATAAAAAGGATTGAGATATACATCAGAGAATAGATTTTGAGAATTCATTTCCTGATTATCAATCAGCCAAGTAGTGAGGGTGGTCAGCTATATTATATATGAACAGATTAACACTATTACAGGTACTCGATATGTCGATGAAATATTTATGAATCTGAAGTCAGATCTGCAATGAGGTCGATTTCATTCATTGAAGTCATATCATGACTACATGGAGAGTGATTGATCGAGCGAACAGAGATTATCACTAGGGCGACGTAATTTTGGTTAGAGAATAATTTAGTGCTATGTTCTTAAGTATCAATCAAAAATTCAATGTATTTCACACCAAATTCAGCGAGGTAAAACCTCTTCAACCTTTTTATTTTTCATGAAGTTGGAGGAAACCAACTGAGGCATCATTCAGGAATGTTGAGTGGGAAAAACAATCTGCAGACTCTCGGAATAATTGCTGACATTGATTTTCCGAAACTCTAGATGAAATTGAATCTGGCTTGCTCAGCAAAAAAAAGCAGACTGATATCTTGTAACGTTTTCAATTACTCATTTACCTTACTCACCAAACGTTACATCAGTAAGCTTGATTTCCTACTTAGTTCATTTAACTTAGTGAATTTCCAAGCAGTACATTTTATTTTTCATTCACAACAGAGTTTGGTAAACTATTGATTTATAAAACACATTGCCTCGGTCTGTGTTTCATTGCTAAGATGTATAGGTGTCCTGAAAAGAATAAGGTAGTTAATTGATAATAAATAGTGATGAATACAAAAATAAACAGAGCACCACATTAACAACAATAAATTCAAGTTAACTTACCAAGTAGATAGAAACCATCAATGTTGTTCTGTAATCACATCCTAGGAAGACGTTGTTGGTTGGTTTCCAGCAAATAAAAATCTGAAAAGGAAATAGTGTTATTGAAATTTAGACCAGGCGGCAGTATGAAAATTCAACAAGAAATACCAAGTAAATACCTTACACACTTACCTCTCTAGTGTACACAGTGTACATTCTTTGGGTTTTGACTTCATGGAGTAGTTATTTATTTTTAAGTCATATTATCGCAGGTGATTATCCAATGTTGACTGATTGAATATTATATGGTTATGTTTGCTTATGTCAATAAAACATGAAATTTCTTCTTGACATTTTCCGAACAGAAACTCAAGGTCATCACACATGGTAATGACAAGAACTCGCGGCAGTATCGTTAAAATGTCGATTGCTGCATGGATAATTTGTTGCACCCTGTCTCTAGGTAGCACGTCTCCCCATCTCAAGTACTATTGAATAGGAGCCATGGATTTATCCTAGGAACTTCGCTTCCCAAGCTGACAAGTTGATGTTTTGTGGAAATTTATGGTGTTGAGACTTTGAGAAAAATCAATTTGTCAAAGGAAGGAGAGGGGGTATTTTCCGGATTTCGTTTTTCCGGGAATGACGAGACGAGAGGTCCCATCATTCTTTTTCGATCACCCACGCCGCGAATGTGACTTTTGTGTAGTTGGTTAGTACTACCACAAAATTTTGATTTTCTTGGCGATTATGCCAAATCAGGCCATCCTGACATGGTTTCGGTTTCTGGAAGATGAGGAAACCCAAATTACTGAACACCCACTAAGACTACGAGCAGGACTACGACCACGTGCAGGACTACAACCACGTGTTTGGAGAAGACACCTGGAGGAAGAGGAGGCCCAGATGACCCGTCAAGTCACTGAAATTTCATACTTTTATATGGGAAAACCCTCTGATGACCAAGGTGAGTTATCTTTCGAAAATTTCATTCCAATATTTTTTGAAACATGGTACTTAGACGGAATGCTCTCCTATAGGGTTTTCTTGCTGGACCTCATTTCTCTGTACCAGACTGCATTTTGTTTGAATGCTGGATTCTACATGTTCTTTTCTAAATGGTATTGTTGCTACATCATGGCTGCTGCTGTTGCTTTCCTTCGTTCTGGATGGCCCCATGTGGCACTAAACCAAGGCCCAGCTATGAAGGCCTTTACCATCCTTGCGCCTCCTGAGGACATCATCGAGGTCTAGGACACTTTCCTCGAGTTGCTACCGGTGAATCTCATCACCTCATCAAACTAGTCACCATGGCATCAACCACCGATAATATCAGGTTTTTCTAGATATATAATAATGATAATAATAATAATAATAATTTGTCTTTATTTGTCCTCACAAAAAAAAAACAATAATACTGAGGGCAAATGGGCGAAGTCTAGTCATGACCAGACGAATCCAGTCAATTCCTACTCAATCTTATCTCATTTAATATTTTTTTATTTATATTCAACGTATTTATCATAATGTATACTCATGCAAAAGCTATATCTATGAGGCACTCAGTTTGAATTTGAAAAACCATCTATTTAACATTAATATATTCACTCTTCTTGGCGTTCACCATAAGACAAACTAAATGCGCAGGGATTAATCTCAAAGATTCATGAATCTTCTGACTAACTACTCTGACTAACTACAACTAAGCGAAGTAACCTGTGGTATACGAAACATCCAAACATACTTGTTGATATTTTCTCTTCCAAACTGAGTTAGTATAACTAAATTTAACAATCTGAGTGAAATAACTTCATATGTTACCAACTATAATCTTTCTTAGAATGATGAGATCTGTTTCATTAATGATCACGTTGTAGTGTACAGATAATGGTAAATCTATATGTTATTAAATTGTATATATTCATTGGAGTTCTCTTATTTCTACTGAATTTCTCTCACATATCATAGGTTTCTGATTTTGCCAAGTCTAACAAATGTCTAAAAGAATCAGTGGCGCCCTTTCCAACATTCAATATATATTTGAAATATCATAAATATTGCTTCATATATTTTTTAGTATAAAATTTCAACTAGGTCAGATTTAGCAATAGACTCACGCCCTTATGCCTCCGATGAACAGCTGCCGTTAGCAGTGAAATAACATAAAAAATTACGTTTCACTAATTGGCGCCCTCAACGTGTTAAATATTGCTAAATTATGCCAAACATGAGAGAATTTTTCCTTGAACATATTCACAAGATCAATCAATAATTTTCCATAATATTGCATCAGTAATCATTTTTTTTTTCTTTTCAATATGGTGAATGGTTTGATGCTCAAACTTGGAAAGTCTGTAAAACTTTGATGAATTCAATTTTTCATTTCTCCACTGGTGTGGAATATTTTGATTATTTTTTGCATAGCTAACTAGTTTGACTTGCTGTCATCTTCCTATAGAATTTGTTAATTCAAGCAGCAATGAAAAACAGTATCAGAAAATGTCAAGTTAGTCATTTTGATTAATATTTTCTTTACAATTCATTCAGTGTTAGACATTGCACTTTTTTTTTCCAACGGAAAATATTTGAAGTATTCATTTGACCTTATGAATAGGGTATTTTCGTTCTTCATTAGGTGAGTTTGAGGTGACGATCTCAACTCCTAATTTGGTTAGATGTTTTGGTTTTTTTTATGATTATGAATATATGGTGAAACTTTTTCATAGTCACTATTTTCTATTGATTGATTATGATGCATTGATACGTGTCCAAGACACAAATTTTGATAAAGTCACTTTCGACAAGTCTAATACAATAACTGCTGACCTTTGCAAATTTTCATACTGC